TCCTTTCTGGCAGCCAGCAAGGGTGTAATCACAGTATTCTCCTCTCACAATTCTTTCCCATTACTATGCATCATATAAAGCAGAATATGTCAAAGTTTTGAAAACAGAAGAGAGAGACCTGCAAGTTCTTGTTTATAGAACTGTTCCTCAGAAGACACACACTGACTGGGGTGGCATCTGTCTCCCCATGTCCACCACATGTTTGGTCTCATTTGACACTATTCTTCACTACCAGTCTGTGCCTCAGTTCCTCAGTTTTCAAGGATGAAAAAACAAAGAGTGAACTCCTTTTAATGGCAAAATGAACCCACCATATTCCATCACACTATATTTATTAGGTAATGCACACTTTTAGAGTCTACATTAAATAGTGACTTTAGATGAAGCGACAAAATTATTTTCTAAATATAATAAAAACCATGCACTGGAGTCACAATTATTGTTAATGAAAATTCTGTTTTCTGTCTCAGCATGTTAAGGCTTTCATTAACGAAACCTGGCTGGAGCGATACGGCTACCCCATCCATCAGGATAACCTCCTGTTCCTATGGTCTATCACTGTGTCCATCTTTGGTATAGGAGGTCTCTTGGGTTCTTCAGGAAGTAGATACCTGACTGTCAAGTATGGCAAGTATGTGTGCTTAAAGACAATTTGTCGATTGAATCTAAGCCTAAGGAAATGACAGTTGAGGTTTAAATGTGAGACAGACTTTTAGGCTTAGTCATGGCTGTAATACAACCAGCTTAGCAGTGGTGTCAACAGATTTTGCTGCTTCTTGCCCTTGTCCTGTGGCACAGGCTAATCAACTGTGCTGCCAGCGTGTCACACCAGACGCAGTTACTCAGGTTGGGTTAGTCTCGGCAAGGAGGAAAGGCAGCCCCCCTTTCAGAATGGATTTCTTGGAGGCATCATCGAGACGCTCCTAAGTTTTCATGATGGTTTTTCAAGTGCAGAAAAGCTTTAAGACTTTTCTCCACTACATAACCCAGAACTGTTCCCAAACTCCCAGGTCTAGCCATCTGCCAAGGCACATGGTGAGTCCAGAGTATCCAGTGTCAACAGTGTGGAAGGGCCTATTTTGTCCTGGACTGTATAATTTCAAACTAGCAAGACAATTTCACCCAAGACATCCTACCTGCCAGGAGCTTAAGTGCCATTTCCCTTCTGATTTACAAAAATTCCTTTTCCTTTCTTGCACTTGCAGGAAGAAATGTCTGCTGTGCAACAACCTGCTCATGATAGCGGCAGCATCCATCATGGGCTGCAGTAAAATAGCCCAGTCCTTTGAGATGATTCTAATTGGACGCTTCATGTGTGGAATAAGTGCAGGTAAGTGATTTTTCCCACAGTGCAGCAGGCTCTCCCAAAATTTTACATCTTTATTCAAAGTAAATAATAATCCTCCACTAAAAAAATATTAAAGTCCCTGATCCCTTGTTAGAAGATCTGCTATAACACCCAGCAATAAAGAGCATAATTACTCCTAATTTCACTGATAACAAACGAAATTCAGCTTTCCCAAATGCAACAATATTCAGAGCTGTCAGGAATGTTTTGATTCAATATGAAATACGGTTTTTTTTTCTCATGGAAAATATGTATAATATTATGTTCACTTTGGTTATCAATACTGGAAATTATATGTTACATGGTTTAAAGCTAGTATTCTCATGAGGCTCCAGAGAACCAGGCTGTTCAAGGCCATGGCCATTGAGTTTTGCCTCTGAACGTATTTCAGGTGTGTTCTACAAGGGTATTCGACCTGTTTTAAAGCAATAAGTCCTTGAGGTTAGTACAAAGAGCTTGGCAAAAATCACTCCTGGCAGGCAGACCACATGTGGCAAAAACATCCTGTGCTGGTTATCACTGTGTCTTGTATTTCTCTCCTAGACAAAAAGCTGCTTATCCATTCAGTTTGTATATTCACAGGGATGACTATTTTAACTTACTTCATTAGAAATTAATGTCTATTTTTCAATTAACCAGATTTTGTACATTGCTTCTTTGACATACAGTTGTATTGAAGAACAACAGTTGCATTCTGAGAACTACCCACACACTCACCCTGCTATGATCTAGAACTTGTATCACGCCTCATGCAAAGACCTAGGTTTTTTCTAAGAGCTTGCATATCTCCATTGCTTCACCATCACGTAAAGCCAGGAGAAAAACACGTTGCTTTCAAAACAGACAAAAGGGGCTGTGATCACTGTATCAGGAAAAATCTCTTGTTCCCAGACTAGTTTTCAGCATATCTGAGTTATTAAGTACTTCACTAATAGCTGGAAACCTCAACTCTGCCTGAAATAATCAAAATTATTGCTGGACAGTGGAAAAGAAATACTTGCGTGTCCCCCTAAATCATGTACAAATCACCATTGAATAAGCATTGTATATTTTAATCTGCTATGGACCTATCCTATAGCTCTTCTATAGCATTGTGTCTGAAAAGGTCGAGATTATGTGGGGTAACTACATGCAAATTAAGTATTACTACAGGGTGCTTAGTTACTCAGCACTTGAATACTCTGTGTCCTTTAAAATACACTAAGGCTCACAAGAGGTACTATGATGAGGCTACACCTACACCCCAAAGAAAAAACCATACACTTCTTAAGATCAGGAAACTGCACTATGCAGTGCAGAATGGAAACCAAATACTTTTGTAAAAAGGGTTAGAAAATCTAGCAGTGAAAAATCTCACACATGGGTTGCGGTATAAGAAAAAAATCTGGTGCATGAGGTAGCTGTAGTCCATGATAATTATTTACATGCAATTTTATTTCCAATGGTTATGAAAGTCTTCTTTCTTCTCTTCCATCATTCTCTCCTCACCTCAAGGTGTTTGTGTTCCTCTACATCATCAATATGTTGGGGAAATCTCCCCTAGGAAGCTACGTGGATTTGGAAACTCTACTTCCTCTTTCTTTTGGGCACTGGGAAAAGCCGTAGGGCAAATTTCAGGACAAAGGTATGACACAATTGATTTCCCACCCAGTTTGTTTCTGGATCCCCTCTACCTTTTGCTTCTATCTCTGCTTTTCCATCCATTTCTTTCTCTCCTCAAAACCAACACAATGAACTTTTATTTAACACACATGTTTTGTCCCCACCAGGGAGCTGCTGGGCAGCCAGTCCCTGTGGCCCATGCTAATGGCCTCCTGTGGACTTCCAGCACTGGTCCAGCTGGTCACTCTGCCCTTCTTCCCTGAGTCCCCACCATATCTCCTCATGCATAAAGGAGACCAGGAAGGCTGCAAAAAAGGTAACCGAGGGCTCCAGGTTCCTGTTCTTCACTTGGCTTTCAGTTGGTTTGTGATGTTTGCTCTCCCCATACAGAAAAAAAATTAAACAGGACAAAGTTTCTCCTTGCTCATTTGTAAGATGACTCTGTGAATACTCACTAAGCGTATTTTTGTGGTAGTCCCCACATAGGGGACTTCTCTCTACAGTTCTGTATTGTAAAACCTTTTGCATTCAGCTGACACCACCTGAGTGGTCAGTGTGGCGATAAATGACAAATGATAAATGATAAATGGCTGTTTGCACTGCAGGGCTCCACAGGGCACCCCTCAGCTCTGGTTGTTTGCTGTGTACTCTGTTCATACCCTGAAAGAAGGAGGGAGAAAAGCAGATCCATGGGCAGGGAGGGAGTCATTGTGCACCTCACTAGGCCCCTCTGTCACAACAGGTCCCTCTGTGCAGGAGGGGACCGGGGCTCTGGAACACACTAGAGGATATCTCAGCCTCACACCACAGCCACAGCCCATGCAGGCTGTGCTGCCAGCACGTGCATCACCTGCTCAATAAACTCCTTAGGCAACAAACGACAGAAATTAATTAACATGGCAGGTCTTACTCTCCTTCTCCTCCACAGCCATAAGGCAGCTTTGGGGTGAAGGCCATCACCAAGCAGAGATTGATGACATCATGAAAGAGAAGGCAACAATGAAAAACACCAAGATCCTGAGTGTCCTGGAGCTAATGAGAGAACCAGCCTTCCGTTGGCAGCTGTACATGATAGTTATTCTGACCGCCACAGTTCAGCTATGTGGCATCAATGCAGTTGAGTATATTTCCACCTGTAAGTCTCAAAACACTTATTGACAACCTCAAAGGAGACATCATGGCTTCCAGGAGCTCCCTCCACTTTGCTCAGGCTTCTCAGGCCACAACTTGCTGGTATGCCAGCTCTCCTACAGGACAAGCAGCAGCAGTCTTTGTGTGACATCCCTTTGCCCAGCTCTTGGTCCTTGCTGGAGTTACCTTCCTCAGTAGCCTGGCTGATGTAACAGCCATTTTTGGAAGCCATTACAAGCCCTCAGAATGCACTCTTACAAATGAGCCCACCCTATATTGGCAAAATCCGCAATGTAGTTTTAACATTACTGCTCTCTGCAATTGCTGTTATTTAGCTCCCAGCTCTTCTCATCCTAAGATGTTGGGATGGCAGTACATGCACTCTACCTTTAAAGGTAACCAAAGAGCATGCTCACTGTTTTGGCAGCTTCTGCAGTTCGCTGTCTCTTCCTCAAGCAGCACTGTTCTGGGATCATTTTGAAGCCACAGCTTTGCAATTGCCCGCATGATTTTTCTACCTCTCCCATCACGACATAGCAACATCTGTAAAGGAAATGCACAGCTGAGTCTAACACAGCTTAAACTGGAATCTTTATCATCTCAGCATATCTCCAAATAATAGCAAAGATACTTGAATATAAAAGATGTTTGTGTTACCCCCTCACGCTTCCAAAACCCATACTTCTCAAGAAAGAAGAGTGTATCCTACAATTATGTTTTTGGATGGGCTCCGGAAGTGATTGTATACCTGGCTCTTTCTAAAAGCACCTAAATCAGGACCCTGCAAACCTAATTACATTGCAGCAGCTGGAGGTCCTTTTATCCCAGCATTTTACCTTTTATCAAATTAATTAATTCATTACATTTTACAATGTTTTTGTCTGCTAATAAAGTGAGTGTTACCAAAAAGAATGCAGAATTCTAGCTCACTGCAAAGCTGAGCTGCATGCTCCTTGGTTAGCAGCTCCTGTCCTGGGCAGCATCACACAACTACGGGCAAGAAATCAGTTATTTTCTTCTCTTACTCTTTTATGGGGTTTTTTTCCAGATTTATTTTTATACTTTTGAAGTCCTCCAGGCAGCTGGCTTTGATGAAAGAATGATCTCCTATATGACCCTCGCTGTTGGACTCTCTGAACTTGTAGCTGCTGTAGTCTGTGTAAGTCACATTACTATGGGAATGGGTCACAATTTGCTCTTCTGGCACTGACACCAGTTTGATTTCTGTCCTTCAGACCTCCATCATTGAGCGACTGGGCAGGAAAGTGCTCCTGAGAGGAGGCTATTGGATCATGGCTTCACTGCTAGCTGGTATCACCGTGACTCTCTCCCTGCAAGTAAGGAAACACTTCTCATGTCAGATTTCTCTATTTTATTGATAACCTCTGCCTACAGACAGGACCATGCTGCTGAGAAAGGAAAGTGAAGCTTAGAAGTGACAAAATAACTTCTGTGTTACAGCTTACACTCTGGGAAAGGAATATCGTAAAGACCAAGCTCGTCTATAAACAGGATTAAATCCTCTCTCAGGAAGTACTCTCTTGTGTTCCTGCCTTCCTTTCAAAATGATCCTGTGAGCTGTGCAAGGAGCACGTAAAACACTGGGAGATTAGCACTGATTCCTGACTTCATCACACTGCAAGCACCAGACACCAGCCAGCATAGATCAAAAGATGGTCCTAGGAAAATGGCCTTTTCTATTCATGCAGTTTTTAACAAGTAACAACAAAAACCCCAGACTCTTTGCATCAGTTAATTTGGAATTTAACTTCACTGCAAAAGATACCGGGAATGCACATATTTGTTCACATACTGCAGACCTGTTCACCTCTATAACACTGCGTCATTGCTGTAGCTTCTTTAGAAGCAAGTCTCCTGGGTTACCAGTATTCGTCCAAGAGCTACTCTACAGACAATACTGTAAAATTAGCCTTGAAGCAAGGTGGCAGCAGGCTTCCATTTTTGTTTCATTCATCCACTCAAGGATCCCAAACATAGGAGGAAGAAATCTTTTTTCCTAAAGCATCAAGTCTTGTATCTTCTTGACTAAGATCTAGGAAAGTTCCTCTTCAGTACCAGTTATTGAACCTATCATTTAACAAAAGTGAAGAAAGACATGATTTGGCCTTCCCAGATCTCTAAGGGTTAGGGGAAGCATCATGGGGTCAAGAAGAAAGGAGGACAGGGTGAAGAAGTATGATTCAGACTGTCTTTAATTGAAGGCTTCCAAGCTCGACAGCTGCTCTGCACTAGCAAACCTGCTTGTCTGCTCACCTAACAAAAACCTCACCGCAGGAAAAAGCACTCATATTTCTCTGCCAGTTCATCCACACTGTATATTTTTTCTTGAGGTAACAGTGTTGGAAAACAAGCAACATTTTTCACCTATGGTTATCAACAGATTTCACACAGAAGTTCACTACGTTTTGGTTTTTTTTTCCCAGGACTGGTATTTCTGGATGCCATACTGCAGCCTTTGTATGATTATCTTGTTTGCAGTTGTCTTTGGAGTTGGGCCAGGTGAGCACTTTATTAAAAAGAAATAAAGGAATCGAGTCATGTGAGTTTATTAATATGGCTAGGAAAATACTGCATAATACTGCATAACATTTAGCATAAGTAAATTCATTTAACCTAATCTTGTAGTCATTTAAATGTAGTCATTGTGGGTCCAATCATTGGCCAGAAACTTCAATGCCATCAGGTTTGGGTTTTGCTAAGGAAGAGAGCAAAAAGTATTCACTGGAAAAACACAGCAAAAATAGAGCAAAAACAGATGTGTGAAAGAATTTTTTAAACACTAAGAAAAGAAGAAAGAAAAATAAAAGGAAGAGTTCTTTTAAATTCAGCGTTGCATAATGTTAAATCTTATCCCACACAGACAGTGGTGCAGAAGACCCACTTTGGAGTAAATATTTTCCTAGTGTGTACTACCTGCTCCTCTTTAATTTTTTTTTAAAAGCCGATTCATTTATAAAACGCTTGGCTCCTCGTATGGCAGGGCTGAATTATCTTCCTAACTCAAAGCTGTGACTTTGAAACATAACTTATGTGCCGAGGAAGCAAATCCCGGAAGATCACTAATTGGTCATCTATCAGTATCATGCTGGGAATTCCTGTTAGTAATAAGAATTGTTAGTCCATCCTTACACAGCTTCTTTCGTGAGATGTCAGACTCAGACTTTCTCAAGTGTTAACTACTTAATTCTTGAATCTCCCCAATAAATGTATTTGAAAAATTTACCTTTTTAATAAGCTGACATCTGGCAGTTTATAAGATGCCACAAACATTTCATTTTTTAAAAAGCAGTGACATACTCAAGTCTTTGGAATGCCAGTCCCCGATAGTAGCATGTATTTGCTGACTGTGTAATGGTGATGCTCAATCCAAATGTTCAAACCAAACACATCAACAACTAATAATCCCTATTCTTCTTTCAGCTGGTGCCACAGTTTCCATTAGGTCTGAAATTTTCAAACTCTCATGCAGACCACCTGCCTTTGCGATCGGTGCAGTTCTCAACTGGCTGGGCGTCTTTGTGATTGGAACAACCTTCCCGTTCATTGTGGTGAGTGACCTTCCCTGGGACACTCCCCAGGGGCACTAAGCTCGAGTCAGCCGTGGGAGCAGGAAGAAGAGCAGCAGGAGGTGGCAATGCCATGTCAGTCTAGGGTGGATTTGGCACCTGCTCCCCGAGTCCACTTTTGCAACTGAAGGGCCCTGATTTGCCAAAGGTACTTATTCAGACTGAAATATTTGTCAAAGGTCAAAATGCAAAGAACTCTGTATCAAATTCAAATTGTTTTGGGACCCAAATACAAAAACTGTGCCAAGAAAGTGACAAAAGGAAATATAAGCTCATCTTGCTCTCTTTCTCACTTTGCTCTTCCCTGCAGGAAAGACTCAAGCACTTCTGCTTCCTCATCTTTATGGGGGTACTTTTCACTTCAGGGATAATAATCCACCTGTTCCTTCCAGAAACAAAAGGGAAATCAATCGTGGAAATCACAGAAGAATTCAATAAGCTAAACTTTAAAAAGAAGCATATTCCAACAGCTGCAAATCATGTCACAGAGGATCACACCTTCTGCACCAGGCTCTGACTGCCCATTAGGAGGAGTCGGGCTTTCTTAAAAGGAAGGAGAAGACATTTGTTGTTTTCTGACTAGCAAGTTGGTCCAAATGGACTGTTAGCTTTCATATCTGTCACTTACAAGGTTCCCATTCTGCCAAACCAGCAGCTTTCTCAAGCACTCCACTCTGGGCAGCTCAGAAAAGGGATGGTGGTTGATATTAACAGGACAGACTCATGCGAGTCATGAACATTTTGGCTTAACTTGCTGATGTGTAAATCTCTTCTTAACAGAGCAAGTAATACACACTAAAACTACATGTAGAATTTATAAACACTCTGATGACCACAGAGAAAGGGAAGACCTGTGATTCTCTCTATGATTTCTGAGTGTGTTTTTACAACCCTGAAATGGGAATAGTGAAGTTCTTGGCTTGCTATGTCTGGCTAGGGTTCAACCCATACCAGATTAAAGAAAAAAATTAGTGGAATAGGAGAGTAATTCTTTGTTTCTCTAGACTCAACTGAATAATCAAACCTTGCCAGGTTCCCATGCATAACGCCAGGCTGTCCTTGTGTTGTATCTAGTTTGACAGACTTCACACGTATTCAAAATACAAATTCAATTAATTGTTCATCTTAACTGCTGCTTATTTTTAATTGGAAACGTTAAACATAATAAAAATGGCAGATTGCCTTGTAACAAAACTTCTGGCCTCCACAAAGATTTTTTTCCCAACATCAGGATCTCCCTTAGGGACATCTGGCTAGAAAAAAATGTTAATGGTGTGCATACCCTTCCATGGCTGGGATTTTTCATTATTCCTGTCTTTAGAATTGAGGGTCACATAAGACTAAAAGATAATCTACAAAACATTCAGTGTCCCTAAGGTCAGAAAAGCTCAATAATTTTGTAGTGTTCCATAGACACGTAACAGGATTAAAAACTACCAGTCACGTGGAGACGACCACCAATATAGAAAGGAAATACCAACTTTTTGCAAAACAGAATTCTTTTTTCCTAACCAGTCATTCTGAAAACATCCTTCATTCCATTACAACAACACCTGAAGTCTTTGGAAACATAAGCAGAGTGGCATCATGTAGCATTGCTGAAGTGACGTTCTAGTGAGCCACTTCTCTGATCTCGGTTACTCATTAGATGTCATTAGGAAAGCTTTCCTTGGAAGATCCTCACCAGGAAGCCAGTGGATGCCCTCTGGAACATTAATGTGACAACGAAGCGGAACAGCGATTTGGAGCACAGGTCAACCTTCGCCTGTGCTCAGTGGAGCAAGAGCTGTATTCTGGTAACTGCCTGGTCAAGGGATGAAACAGCAAAAAGGTATGGTTCAAAAATGCAGGGGAGGTGACAGAGACAAAGAGGACAGTCATTCAGAAGTTTCAGGAACGCTAAATGTACATTTTCTTGCAGAGACATCAGCTGATAGGTGAGATATGTCTCAAACACTGACTAACTGAGGCAGATATAAACACTCAGAAACTGGATCAGTGAACTGCTGTCAGCTAGACACAAAAAACACAGATCTGGTCTAGCTGGCCTGTATTAAGGAAGGCTTAGCACAGCTTTGTGTATGTGTGCCATGGGTGACTGTAACATTGCAAGATAAATGACTAAATGACCTGATGTTGTGAGATTTACTGTCCTGATCACAATTATGACTAAAGGATACCTGTAAGATGTCTGCTAACTACTTGTTGGCACTAATTATAAAACTGTGCATCTAATAAAGGGGCCCTCAGGACAGTAATAAGAGCATAGAAGCTGTACAGTAACCAATCAACAGAAATGCAGAAGATACGAGACACTAGGGGCATTACAGGAGGAAATCTTGTAACCTTCCAAAAGCAGGAATCCTAAATTAAAGTACAAGAGCAAAGAGTAAAAGTTAAATTGTGTATAAAGTATACTAGGTAGAAGTTGGTGAAGTAGAACATAAGGAAATATTTGCAACAGGCTGCATTTGAGCAAAAAATGGTAGCTACATACTATTGTTTGCTTGTGTCTTTCCCCAGTATCATCTAAGCAAGGCAGATACTAGCAGCTAACATGGCATTTCTGTCCTTTGTCAGATGCACATTATGTTGTTTCAACTATGTATGACTTTACAGAAAAGGAAATTAATTCCTAGCATCAAAGGGACAGCCTCATTTGTGCTCTAACAACAGCTTACTTGCTGGACAACCCAGTCTGGAAAAAAAACCTGCCATGAACTCTCAACACACAGCAACAACAAAGTCAGCTTCATGATGAGGACTGCATAACAACGGGAGAGATGGCCAGGTGGTGTTACATGCTACATTTCGGACATTAGCTAGAGAATCTGTGAATAGTCTTTGCATGTGCTGTATTTTCTAGTAAATACAACTGCACCCAACAAGCCCTTTATGGTTTCTTCATCCTCATCTTCTTTAACTGAAGTGTAAGTGGCAAATGATAACTAAGCCATATACCAACTTAATACATGCAGAAACCTCTTCATTATGAAATAAATGAAGTTAAAGTCTAAGAATTTCCTGTCTGAAGGAAAAGACATCAACCCAGCTATGGAGGTTATAAGACAATTTCAAAGCAATCTTTTTTTCATCACAGACACAGAAATAAATATACTGACCAACGGAAATGCCAGACAAAACTGTGCATGATGTTGAATCTTCATCTCCCAGCAAAGGAAAACCAGCAACTATTAAATATTTAGCTGGTCAAGCATGGCATGCCACTGTAGAATCATTAAGTGTGCATCCCATCCCAAAATGATGGAGCATTTCAATTCCTTTAAGTAATGATTAAGTTACGATGTGCTCCAGTTGCTGTCACATGAAGAGAGAATAGTTCTTTCCTATTATATGTCAAAGTCCTACAGTTCACTGTCCAAGCCCCATCTAAGATTCCCAACAGGTACCTTTGTCTTTATGTTTCTCAGCTTATACTGAAAATTGAGTTATGATTATTGGAATCCTGTTTAAAATTGATGCCTCAGTTCCCTATCTCCCTAGCACAAGACAGAATTCGTGAAGTACACAGGTAGACCATCTTGTTTACTTGGGCTAGACACAACCATTGGTTGAAATATTTAATCCAACAATTTTAAACTTTGTACAACAGCTGAAATATGTCTAATTAACTCAAGAACCTCTGAAGTAAAATTTAACTTAATAACATGGGACTAGTTCACTGACACTGCTATTGCATAATGCCAGCATTCGGTTCTTTTGGCAGGTACTTGCCAGTAAGCAACAGGAATCGGCTCTTTCATAGGAGATGGCCACCTTCTTCTCTGACCTGGTGAGTATCTGGTCACTTTCTTTCAGGGCTTTGACTTATAAAGGACAAAGCTAACATAATACTAAAGATACAGATTCCTTAAAGATTGTAAGCTCTTGTGGGATAGAGACCATTCTCCTCTTCTGCATTTGAACATCATCAGGAACAATGGGGCTTGGGGCCAGGACTATCATGTTGCATGGTCTTTTCCATGCAACTGGATGAAATTAAATTAAATAAAGATAAGATAAAACAAAATAAAAACTAACAGAAGTCCTGGCAGTTCCACCACTGACAATGTTACTGTACTTTTGTTTTCTGAATTACTGAAAATAATACTAATTACTAAGCATGCTGATTACCTCCCAAAGTAATTTATAGATTAACTGTACTGCGAAAAGCTAAGAAATTCATTACATAAGCTCTACAATAAATTACTTTCCCCATCACATCCAAAGATAATATCATCTGTCAAGAGTTTCCATAGTCTTAAACAGGGAAGTAGTAATAACTATTTCTTGCTCTATTTCTCAACTGCCATCAAGAAGCTATTTTGCTTTCCCTTTTAAGTATTAAAATTGTTACTTTATAAGTCTGGTACAAAAAAAAGGAAGAGTGAGAAGGTGAGTTCTTAATTTGTTTGAATGCTTTCACCAATTAGCAAATTCACAGAATTTGAGACAGGATTTTTAAGGAAATTTAGAGTCTTCTGGTCCAAAACTTCTTGGTTCTTGTCATGTGACAACTTGGGAAATCCAGCTGTGGACTACTTAAGTAACCCTTGACCAAGGAAATTTTAGACAGATGGTATTTCCCTAGCTTAGAAGATGCTAAGCCCTTCAATATGCAAGCACACACTTTCATGGTTAAATAAGTAGAAAAAAAATATTGAGAAAGAAGATATGAAATCCCAGGTCAGCCAGGAAGATTTTTGTCTTAATGCGATTACAGAGGCTGTTCCAAATTATTCTCTTTGTAGTCTATGCCTTTCTGAAAAAGTTGAATGTTAAAAGGATCTTTTCTTTTTTATGCTTAAAGATCCAACACCGTCAGAAATGAAAGCAGAGAGTACAACAAAATGTTGTTGATTTTTAATGCTGTACTTTTGTGGCATAACATTATGTTTTGATATACATAGGTTGCTGCAGACTGAAGACTAGGAAACTGCTTCTCTCTTCCCCATATCCAGGACTGACAACCTGTCAGATATTGCAGGCATACAGTGAAAGCTCTACTATCAGGAACATCTTTTAAAACTCCTTGTCGTTCTTGCCAGCAAAGTGGTGGATTATCACTCTTAGGCTAGCACTGTCTTGCTATGGCACTGTGGCTGATGATTGCACTTCGGCAGTGAGTTAGAGGGGGTTTGGAAAAATGTTTAAATCCAAGAGGATCTGAAGTAGACAGTGCAGGTTTCCAGAGGGGAAGGGCAAGTGTGGTTACAAAGACTCTGGCCCTGTGCAAATCTAGACCAATGAGAAGCTGATGGAGCATTTTATTATTGCTTTGCAGGTTCAGTTCCAGGGATTACTTCAAATGATCTTAGTGCTGGGAATTGGTGGTAGTTTCCCATATGGATTCCACATTTCTGTCATCAACTATCCTTCTGTGGTAAGTAGCCATCTCTCTGAGGTTGAAAACAGAAAATGGAGAGCCTGAGCTCTCCATTCTCCCACAAATCTCACATTTGCTGAGTGTTCAGCTGATACATCTATACCTTTTCTTTGGTAATGGTTACTCAAATGTGTAGAGAACTTCCTCTCCTTTAGAGAACAGGATGGCACTTTCTGTTTTAAATAAATTGTTGCCACATAGTATGCAAGCTTCCAAAGGAAGGCAGAAAATGTGCTTTCAGCAGGCTTCATGAGGAAGCTTACTGACGGATAGAAACCTGAAGATTTTGCA